TATTCTTAAGTGATTATCTTTATAATGCATGTTTTGCTTGATAATTTCTTATGATCATTGGTTGCTACTTTCATGTTATTTGTTGTTTAAGTTCAAAGAAAAAGACTATAGTTATTTCAATGTCTTACGTATGTCCCTTGTATACCTTGATGTACCCCCTCCCTTGTGTGCAATCTTGTCCATATTGTTCATGTTTGTATAGAAGCTAACTTATTAACATAAAATCAACAAAAACATAATCAACCTTTCAAAAAAAAAAAAAGACTTGATCAACACCAAACTCCAATTTTCAAAAACATTGGTCCAACACCAATTAATCACTATCTAACTTCACCCCATCAACAAACCCTTTTTCAAACTTATTCTTGATTCAACATCAAACCCTTTTTTTAAAACACCCAACTTGTAAGTCAATTGCTTCGCGCATCGCCATCAACCTTTCCAATCATTTCAAACTCTTTCATAATCATGAACAAACCTCGATCAACATCGAATGCGTTTTATCAATCAAACTAAAAAATACTTAAAATGTTCAAACCTTTTCATAAAACATAAGATATTGTGTCTCGAGACGACGCAAAACATTGCTTCGTCCATAAACCACTTGTGTTAAGATAAGAAGCGTTTCCCGCGAATGTCATTTTGTAAATCCATTCCGTTGTGATGTAAATGTCCGCTCCTCACCTTTTTGGGTAAGACAATATTTTCTGTCGATTGTGACTTGTTGTGAATTACGACAAAATTCAATATCAATTTATGAGAAAAAGAACAATAGCAACCAAAATAAATGGTCTTCAGCAATAATAATCCGTATACAGATAATATAACAGAATAAGACAAGAAAAAACTAAAGGTTTATTTACCCAGTTCGAATAAATGATCTACTATGGAGAAGAGAGCAACTCTGCAATTCACTATACTCAGAAAGTTGTTACAAGAGATTACAGATAAGTTACAAGAAAATAGCCTTCGCCTTCAGGTTCCCAAGAACAACCCTGAAGGTGCCCAAGAACAACCCTATTTTCTACCCAAGTGTTTCCCTACCTCTCCAACTCTCAATATATGAATCTCTCAAACCCAAGGTGTAATCCAAGGTTTTCTTTGTGTATAGCTGAAATCCTATGCTATACCTTTAAACCCTTGGTCTCTCTTGTTGGTGAAAACTCTAAGATTGTCACACACCAAGTATGTAGCAAATACCCAATAAACAAAGCCCAAAATCACATGGATCCATGGACCAAATCGAAAAAGTCCGAAAACTGAAAATACTATTCACTATACGGATAACACTATTTACCGTACGAATGATACTATTCACCGATCGATTTTTTTTCCCGACTTTTCATTCGAATTTCTAAAACTTCCAATTTTCGTGGTAAATGCAATCTCCAAAATATGTTTTCTTTCTCTTCATCAACAACATTTACAAAAATTTTCATCTTGACTTTAAACCGTGTTGATACCAATTTAACAATCAATAACATTTATGCTCTCTACCAAGTTGAAACTTTAATCAATAACTTTGATCAAATTCAAGTAACCCTTGAATATTGATCTTGCAACTTGAATCCACTTGTTTCCAATTACCCTTTTTCTTCCTAGGTAATTTAACAAGCCTACAAGTATGGTTTTTCAACCACCCTTGACCCCACCTATTTTCAAAAGCCTCCCTAGAGGTTTTTCTTCTTTTATTTTACAGTCCTTCAGCCACATTAAAAACATAATATCCAAGGCTAGCATAACCGTCCCTTTGAGATGCTATGATAACCCTCCTTACCTTATCATGAGCCAAATGATAATCAGAGATCACTGTAACCGTTCCCTCACTACTGTTAGCATCCATAGTAGGAAACTCTACCTCAAACTGAGTTTTCTCCATTATAGTTCCTCCCTTAATTTTCGCCATTCTTCTTCTGAAGAAATTCTCTACCAACCAAGTAAGTTATTTTAACCTCAGCTCTTTCCCAAAAACTCAATAACAACTCAGCGATAACATGCATTTTTATCCCTTGATTTCTGCAAAATTCATTGTACACCTCTAAAATTTTCTCAAGGCATTCATAACTCCTTAAACTCAAATTTCATAGCTCTTCCTTGTCATGAAAGCCTCCACTAGTTAACGATGAATGAATAATAACATTTGAACCTTCTAAAATATATATACCACAAATTTTATACCCTTTAGTAATAATCAATTCATCACGTGAAATCTTTAACACTCCACATTCAACTCTAGTACAATAGGCTAGATCGTCAAACATACGTATAGATAACAAATTTCGCTTGAGTTCTGGAACATACCTCACATTGTGAATAAGAAGTTCACGATCATTAAAATTTTTAAATATGACCGTACCAATACCATGAACCTTGCATGCCTTATTATTACCAAGGCGAACTATTCCACCTTGCACCATCTTTAAAGTATCAAAGTATTCTATTCTTGGACATATGTGACAAGAGCAACCTGAGTCAATGGCCTAACTATCTTCAGTTTCCAAGCTCGATACTACTAGTGCTTCGACATCCTCATAATTTTCGTCACCCAATACAACTACAACTTAAACAGAATCTTCATTGACCTTTCTTTCAGGACAATCCCTTTTAAAGTGATCGATTTTTTGACAATTAAAACATTTTAACTTTGACTTGTCAAACCTCTTTAATTTGGACATCCCTTTACGCTCACCTCCTCTTTTTGACACATTTAAGCCTTCACCACTATCTTCAATCTTCAAATCTTTCGACTTTGAAAGTTCTTTGGATTTCACCGCCGTTTGGACTTCATCCAAAGTAATAGTACCTTCCTTACCATAAAGAAGGGCATTCTTAAAGTGCTCAAAGGATTTGGATAATGAACTCAAAAGGAGTAAAACCTTGTCCTCATCATCAATCTTCACTCAAATATTCTCAAGATCATCGGTAATCTTGTGAAATTCTGTGAGTTGCTCAACTATAGATTTGTTCTCCACCATTCGAAATGAATAGAGTTGTTGTTTCAGATACAACCTGTGAGGCAAAGACTTTGTCATATACAATGATTCAAGTTTTGCCCACATAGCAACCGCAGTTTGCTCCCCGGCGACTTCTGTTAGAACTTTATCCCCGAGGCACAAGATAATGGGACTCTTGGCCTTATCCACCATCTCAATCTTGTATATCTGTGTAAGCCCTGCAGACATCAATGCTTCATTCTTCAAAGCATCAATACACTTCTCTTGAATTAAAATTGCTTGCATCTTAATTTTCCACAACCGCAAGTCGTTGTTACCGAAAAATTTCTCGATCTCCCATCTACTAACCATAGTGCTCACTTGTTAATAATATCTCTTTGCTCCGCGCTCACCGCACCACTTGTTATGAATCTTGTTGTGAATTACGACAAAATTCAATATCAATTTGTGAGCCAAAGAACAATAACAACCAAAATAAATGGTCTTCAACAATGATAATCCGTACGCAGATAATATAACAGAATAAGGTAAGAAAAAACCGAAGGTTTGTTTACTCAGTTCGACCAAACGATCTACTCTGGGGGAGAGATCGTCTCTCCAATTCCTTATACTAGAAATTTGTTACAATAGATTACATATGAGTTACAAGAAAATAACCTTCGTCTTCAAGTTCCCAAGAACAATCTTGAAGGCGCCTAAGAACAACCCTATTTTTTACCCAAATGTTTCCCTACCTCTCCAACTCTCAATATATGAATCACTCAAAACCAATGTGTAATATAAGATTTTCTTTATTCATAGCTGGAATCTTATGCTATACCTTTAATCCCCTGGTCTCCCAAAATCACATGGATCCATAGACCGAATCGAAAAAAGTTCAAAAACTCGAAAACACTATTCACCGTACGGACGATATTATTCACCGTACATACAGTACTATTCACCGACCTATTTTTTCTCCAACTTTTCGTCCGATTTTCGCAGTAAACGCAATTTCCACATATATGTTTTCTTTCTCTTTATCAACAAAGGTTTTTAAGGAACATTTACAACACAACTAAATATCTTTCGCTAAAATCGACCAACAAAATTTGTTAGACCGAACTACGAAGGTTCTGAGTTCTTCATTGCACTATGAGGATACGTAGACACGAGACTGCGAAGTCTTGCCGAACCCCCTTAGTAATAAAACCCTTAGGTCCCTTTCTCTTATCTTTCACCTCTTTAATAACCAAGAAGCCTAACATCTTTTAACAAAAACTAACACATACAATTAACCTAACGGTTCCCGTTGAGTACAACAGACGTGATAAGCGCTAATACATTCCTCTAGCGTAACCGACTCCCGAACTCAGATATTTGTTGCGATGATCATATCTTTTTTTTAGGAGTTTTATTCGATATTTTTTCTTTTCCTCTATGAAAATAAATAAAGATTGATGACAACTCTGTTAAGTCCATTCTGCAAGCATGCAATTGCGCTTTGCGAGGTCGCTGGCCATTAGACAAGACTTCAACTTATATAGGGTCTAAAGAGTAATCATTTTATTATTCAATCGAATGTGTTTTGTGTGGTGTATTGCATTAATCTCATTGGTTTGCATTGAGATTATTAAGAATTGTAATGTTATTTTTGTTATGTATATTAAAAGAAATTGTAATTGGGATACACACCATATGGTTGGTATTGGTAGAATAGTTGGGTGTAAGACTTAGGTGAATCATATCCCAAATAAAAAACTTTGTATTTGCCTTTGTGTCTCTTTCTATTCCTTAATGAAATGGTGTTTTCATTTAAAAAAAAACTTGTTTGATAGATGCAAATAAAAATGATCTCTTTCCTTTTACTTTTCGAAAAGTGAATGTGTCCAATTTAGACCCATTCCAAAACGACTGTCACTCCCAACGTCCCGTCGTCGTTTTCTCCTCCGTTTCCATGCCTCCTTCACTTCTAGTCTTCCGATTTTGACTTCGAACCTTCGCATCTTCATCTAATCGAATTGACTGTGTCTGTAATTCGTTAACTTGAAGTTGGTGAAAAAGAAAATGGAGCAATCAGTTGTTGATGACATAATCAGTCGACTGTTAGAAGTTCGAAACCGTCCGGGGAAGCAAGTTCAATTATCGGAGGCCGAGATCCGTCAACTCTGCGTTGTTTCTAGAGACATTTTCATTCAACAACCTTATTTATTAGAACTCGAAGCACCTATCAAAATTTGTGGTATTCTTTTTACCTAATTTTCTTTTGACCTAATTTTCTTTCTATCAATGTTGTTTGGTGATTTTGTTGCTTGATGGAAGATTTTGTAAATTAATCATGTTTTGTTTTTGTGATTACCGTTTGCATGCTTACTTATGAGTGTGTTAGAAGCTGGATTAGTGCTAGGGTTTAATGGATGAATGTGTTTTGAAGTTCATAGGGATTAATTTTGTTGAGTATTGAATTGAGGAAGCTGCTTTGTTTTTTTCTTTTCTGTTTTTTAATTCTAACTTTAGAAGATTATGGTGGTAGAATGTGAATTTGGTTCAAATTATGCTTGTAGAATTTATGTATGTGAGTGAATAACTGTATAATGTGAGTTTTGTCTATGCTTGGTTTAGCTTTTGGAAGAGGCAAGAGCAATTTTAGAGGTTTAGAATTGATTTTGAAATGATTTTGAGGTGTTTTGGTTCTTCTTAAGGAGAATTGATTCTGCCTCAATAATTGATTCTACTTGTAGAATTTGTAGCTTTTGAGTTTAAATGTGATTTTTACATTTAAATTTTGTTTGAACCAATTTTGCCTATAGTTATCCAAACATAAATCACTTTACGTTCAACTCACTTTTAACCAAAATCAATTTTACGGAATCAATTCACTCAAAAATCAATTATTTGGAATTGATATTGTGTGGGATTTTACTGGGTAAAAAATAATTTTTGATTTACATGAAGAATGCTAACAAAAGCTCTTGATTAACTTTACTAAGCTTGTGTGTAGTATTAATTTTACATAACTTCAAATTGCAACAGTGAGCATCATATAAACAAAAACCAAAGTAAATTTCTTCTAAGATTAGCTACATTAATCAAATGAAGCTAATCAAGAATGAATCATATCTATAGACAGAGTGACAGACCATTAAATTCAAATCCTTTTTAATGATTTGACCTATAGTTTTGTATGGCATTTGTCTAACTCTGACCATGAGAGTATTCTACGCAGGGTCTACTCTCTTCACCAGTTCTCCTATGAGTCTTTGCTATACATGTCCAAATCACCTAAGACGAGACTTTATATTTTTTTTCTACGATTGGCGTTGTCCTCTCCTCCTCTTCTTTCTATTGCTTTCATAGCTTATTGTTAATTCGTTTTTGTCACGTGACAGCTTATCCATTGTAATGTTCGCATGTCTACAACAATGAGCTTATTTTCTTGTTGATTCTTTAGGAGCTAGTATTTAATTTCATACTTAGTTTGCAAGTCGTGCAAGTTGCAATTAAGCAGGAAAAATTTCCTTTAAATTAGGGTGGTGCTTTTCTATCAAAAATTACTCTAGAGGTCTTCATCCATTCCATCCACGGTGCATGAATCTTATGGTCGACACTTGACACTTGTCCCTCTATTTCCTCATCATTTTTTTGTGTGATGGATCTAGATATTTAAACTTTGTGGCTTGTGATAATATTAATATGTTCTCCAATTTTATATATAAGCTATAATTAGTGTCTCTTTTGTCAAATTGATTCTACATGTCATGTAATCTGTTTAAGCTTAATGGTTTTATTTATTTATTTATTTTATCACTCTCCTAATCCTTGCAAAAAAAAAAAAAACTATCTGTTCTTGACTGTATTTATAACCAGAAAATTTCAATTGTTGCATATGATTGACATCATTAGTTTGCTCAAGTTATTTGCTAGAACTTTTGGACTTTTTCTTTGGTGGACTGATGTTGAACAAAAGATTTACGTATAAAGATCATGGCATCTCTGATTACCAACATCATATTTTAGTTTCAGTAAAAAAAACGACGCATTATCAATTGATTCCAGTCGGTGGCCACAGGCCCCACACGGTGGAATATAACTTTGTTTTTGCTCTATGATCCATACTTTGTACTTCCTGATATTATCAATATTGTATAATACTGTACTATTGTAGTTGTACAAAAGGAAAAGATACATATATTGTTTAATGCAAAATATCCTTATATTGTTGTTTTAGGTGATGTACATGGTCAATATTCTGATCTCTTAAGGCTTTTTGAGTATGGTGGATTGCCTCCCGAGGCTAACTACTTGTTTTTGGGGGATTATGTGGATCGGGGAAAGCAGAGTTTAGAAACAATTTGCCTTCTCCTTGCTTATAAGATTAAATATCCTGAGAACTTTTTCCTATTGAGAGGAAATCATGAATGTGCTTCTATAAACCGGATTTATGGATTTTATGATGAGTGCAAGAGAAGGTTTAATGTAAGATTATGGAAGACATTTACAGACTGCTTCAATTGCCTTCCTGTGGCAGCTCTTATTGATGAAAAGATTTTGTGTATGCATGGGGGGATTTCTCCTGACTTGCATAGTTTGGATCAGATTAGAAATCTACAACGGCCCACTGATGTTCCTGATACAGGTTTGCTTTGTGATCTTCTTTGGTCTGACCCAAACAAAGATGTTCAAGGATGGGAAATGAATGACAGGGGAGTTTCATATACATTTGGTGCTGATAAGATCACAGAGTTTCTTCAGAAACAAGATCTTGACCTAATTTGCCGTGCTCATCAGGTCAACCTCCTACCTTTAGTGCTTAATGCGTAACCAATTTTTTGGAGGCTGAGTTTGTACAGCCATTTCTAATTTTCTATGACTGAAACTAAAATTACAATGAAGTATTTTTCCAGCAATCTGCTCTAGTCTGTCGGTACATTTCCAGTGTATTGTAATTACTTTATTTTGTTTCAACTGGAAATTACATATTCCCTTGTAAATGTGATGTAACATAGTTTTATGCATTGACCAGAAAAATCTTCAAAAGCCATTCATTATGTTTGACATTTGGTGCTTCATTTGTTTGCACATTACGATGTGTTTATATTGTAGGATATTACACGGCAATCAACTATGCTGTATTAACTTTTTTTTTTTAATGTATTACCAGGTTGTGGAGGATGGATATGAGTTCTTTGCTAATAGACAACTCGTAACAATATTTTCAGCACCTAATTATTGTGGAGAGTTTGACAATGCCGGTGCTATGATGAGTGTTGATGAGACACTAATGTGCTCTTTCCAAATATTAAAGCCAGCTGATAAAAAAACAAAGATCAATTTTGGAAGTACAACCACTGCTAAGCCTGGAAACTCTCCTGCAAGTGTAAAGGTAGGAAATAGTTTAGTATTTTCCGGCAACACATGTCAACTTCATTAATAATACCTATGCAATTTGCACACTTCAATAGGTACATATCATATTGATGCACCTGACTTGAAGAAGATATATCTTTTGATATAGGCTTAAATTGCATTAACATAGATTTTTGGGAATATTAATCTTCATAGCAAATTGCCATTTTCATGCACAACAGCTTGCTTTTGTATTTTACATTATTCACATTTCATGCATTTATACTCTAAATTTGTCTCCCTCATTGTTCATGGCAGTCTTTCCTTGGTGCAAAAGTATGATATTAAACTGTGCTATAAAGATTGCTGTAACTACTGGTCAGCTTGGTCCTAGCTCCTAATGGTCACAAGAAATCCAGATCCATTTTGTCCGCTAAGATATTTGGAATTGTAAAATCAAAGGGAAAACACGATCATGAACTATGTAAACCACTTTTTTTGGATACAAATTCACATTTTGAGATGGAGAGTCATGTAGTCTCTCTCTGTCTTCCGTTGTACACAAGGAGTTGGTATATTTTATGAATTGTAAGCTTCTCAAGCATAGATGAATATGCGTTGAGAACCGTTTAAAAGTGCTTTTATAGGAGTGGCGTATGGATGACACACTCAAGGCAGGTAAAACTGAATACGGTTGATTCACCGTTTTTCCCGATTTACCTGTCATTCGGACAGACTTCTGTATGAAATCTTGTTTTAATCTTTGTTTCTCATTCACAAGATATTCTCCCTGAAGAATTTGAGTGGTTGAAGCTGTAACTAGACACACAATGTCTAACAGAAAAATGAGTCGGGCTGTAACTATGGGAATTTTGTGTTGAAGCAACGTCTCATAACTAGGTCCACATATTTTACAAGAATATGGCGATAAGTGTCTTGCACGCAAGGCATTTGTATGAAGGTTTTCCTTGCATTAATAACAAAGTGAAGTGTTTCAAGTTTTGTGGAAGTTTAAGTTTCCATATCCACTTCCAAGCTTTTGCTAGGTTGGACCTGCAAAATCAAAGGAATACAAGTCAACCATTGAAATCCACTGTAACCGAATATCTGAAGAAGACTGCAACCAAATCTTAATTTTCTGAGGGACCACCTTTACACTAAGGTTGAGAAACAATCTTATAATTCACCCCAATGACAATGTTTACTCCTCCACGTGAATTGACGAGTAGAAGTATCAATTTGATCACACACCCCATGAGTGATCCGTAAATTTTGCACGGAGTAAGGGGTTTGATCAAATCCTATGGAATTTCTGAAAATGCCTACTTGCACCGTCTAAAATTTAAAATTTCAACATATTACAAAAGAGCTTAAGTTCACCTGAAACCAAACGTCTAGAATGGACAAAAATTCTATTTGGTTTTTAAAATCCGGATGCATCATATATATTAAAAACCAAACGTCTAGAATGGACAAAAATTCTATTTGGTTTTTGAAATCCGGATGCAACATATATTACAAGATAGTTCAAGTTCATCCTGAAATGTCTAGAATGCACACAAACTTTGTTCAAATTTCAAAATTTGAAAAGACCACATAGTATAAGCGAGTTCAAGTTATTTGAAATACATAGAATGCACAAAAATTCTATTCGAATTTCAAAATTTGGACGAGCCACATATTATAAGAGAGTTCGAGTTCATCCGAAATGTCTAGAATTTACAAAATCCATTTGAATTTTGAAACCTAGACATGTTTTTCCCTCTAAAATTGTTGTATTTGAAATACAATGACGTCTAAATTTTGAAAATCATACGTATCATAAATGACAGAAATGATATAATATTGCAATTAAATGGTAAATTCGGATTATAATATCCAGAATGTCTATTTGTGCATTAATTGTGTTCAAATTCATTTTATTTGCACATTAATTGTGTTCAAATGTTAAAATATGAACGCTTTCAAAAATATTTTTGAAATACTAAAAAATTATTTAGGAAGAGCTGAAATGACATATTAGGCTAGAGTCACCCTTTGAGGCTCGACTAAGCAGTTTGGTTTTCCAACTTTTTATAATATCCAGAATGTCTATTTGTGCATTAATTGTGTTCAAATTCATTTTATTTGCACATTAATTGTGTTCAAATGTTAAAATATGAACGCTTTCAAAAATATTTTTGAAATACTAAAAAATTATTTAGGAAGAGCTGAAATGACATATTAGGCTAGAGTCACCCTTTGAGGCTCGACTAAGCAGTTTGGTTTTCCAACTTTTTATAATATCCAGAATGTCTATTTGTGCATTAATTGTGTTCAAATTCATTTTATTTGCACATTAATTGTGTTCAAATGTTAAAATATGAACGCTTTCAAAAATATTTTTGAAATACTAAAAAATTATTTAGGAAGAGCTGAAATGACATATTAGGCTAGAGTCACCCTTTGAGGCTCGACTAAGCAGTTTGGTTTTCCAACTTTTTATTTGCTAGTAACAGGATACAAGAAAAACACAAAAAATCAACATTCAATCAACATTCTTAACTCTACTAGAGAGCATTTGAAACCAAGAGCACATGTATCCACTTTATTCTTAGAGATATTAGAAGACATAAATCTGGATTTTGAATGTTCACCAATATGGCTTGTTGAAAATCTTATCGGCTGTCTTATAAATCTGGATTTTGAATGTTCACCAATATGGCTTGTTGAAAATCTTATCGGCTGTCATTTATTGACTCGCATGTTTTGCTGTATTTACACGGACAAATTTTAATCGGTAAATATTAATCACTTTTCGCATCAACCATTCATAATATAAAGATTTTGAAAGTCAATCATCACTACAATTATGACCAACCTGTAACTACGATCACAATTTAATAGTCTCATAATAACTTTTCAAAATATTCAACCTGACGTGTTACGGAAATATTGAGGCTCGTTTCGTGACTACACCCTTGTGGAGACTGTATAGCCCTTTTTCTACTAGGTGTTTTGGTTTTTAACAAACCTATAAAACTCTAGTTCCCTCTGCATTTTTTGCAGAGTATCCCACAAGAGCTCTTCATTTTTACGTGAAAAATTGGCTTATCATTTCCTCTTTTTACCCTATGCTTTCAACAAATTCAAAATAATAGTTTTGTCAAACCCAATTTTAGGGTTGCAAATCTCATCAGTTAGTTTGTCTGGGACTCCATGTCTCTTGCAGATAGTAGTGATCAAACATGAGAAGTATAATATTCCATCTTTCTTCTTCGCACAAGCATGAATTTCTTGGAAAATTATCTTAGCAATATTTATGGGGGAGCAAGTGGTGATACAGTGGAAAAGAATTAACTTCTTTAATGATGTGCATCTCAAATTAAAGTAGAACTCTTTCACGATTTGAGTATTGTAGGGTTGTGGATGCTTACAAAATCTTTTCCATTCCTGCCTTGTTATGGCGTGCCCGATTTCATCAATAAAACCAAACTCTTCATCTTCCAAGTCAAAGATGAATCCCCTTTCAAAAAGCATATTTCTTGTAGCAAATACCTTTTGTATCTTCTTTGAGCGTCACTGTTTATAAAAGTTTCATTTTATGAAGAATGATAATCAAAGTGCACCAACGTTCTTTCTTGCATGGGGTTTGATTCTTTTTCGGATGGAGATGAGTTCCATTGATGAAAGAATGAATGGTTCTGTTAGATACAATTAGGTTAATGAGGGAAGTTGGTCTTTTATAGAAGAAAGAAGATATCAATAAAGGTGGTTTTCTTGCAAACGAGAGAATGGGGATTTTAAAAAACGAGAACACGGTTAAGTAAGGGTGAGTGAGAGGGGGAGTAAAAATTTTGAATTTTGAATATGGAGAGAAAAATTAACAGTTATATAATTATTGAAGGGAAACTTGAGGGACTGGAAATAAACTTAGGAGTTATGTTGGGGATAAAATCATCATTACTTAGATGTGTTAAGGCGCATCAGACCCATGTGCATAGATCCATAGACTTTTGTCTCCTAATGCACGTTATCCTCTCCTTCTTCCAACTTTCTTTTTAATTCATTTTTTTCATACTTCCTTAGCATGTCATAGTCATGACAAAAAACTTCAGAACCTTAGCAAAGTAAATCAAAGCTATCATCAAAAACAAAAATACAAACACTAAATTATTCTAGTTTCATTCTTAGTAGCACTATTTTTAAGTCTTATAACCTGAATTGAAATAGAAAATTTTAATGATGCAAACCTATGGAAGCCCTTGTGTTACTTAAAGGCTCACCATGGTAAGTTTTCAATATTTGACCATTCACTTTGATCGTCTCACATGTTTGTTTATTCAAAAGGTCCACAGCCCCACGAGGATAAAGTTTCACCAGCTTAAATGGGCCTGACCATTTGGATTTTAATTTACCAGGAAAGAGTTTCAACCTTAAGTTAAATAAGAGTGCATTTTGCCCTTCTACTAATTCTTTTTTCTGGCATTTCTTGTCATGCCATTTCTTGGTCTTTTAATTGTACGACTAAGCATTCTTATAAGAGAACACTCTATACTTCTCAAACTCATTGCATTGCAACATCCTTGCTTGCCCAACAACTTGCAAGTTGAAATTCAATCTCTTAACATCCAAAAAGGCTTTATGTTGCAGTTCGATGGGTAGGTGGCAAGCTTTTCCATAAACAAGTCTATAGGGAGACATTCTTGTAGGTGTTTTAAAATTAGTTTTGTAGGCCTACAATGCATCATACAAATGTTTAGACCAACCCTTCTTAGAAAGGTCAACTACTAGTCATACCCCAATTTTGTCCAGATATTTTAAACTTTCATGCATCCCACTTTATTTTGTTTTGCTTAGAACAAATTTTTGATTTTACAAATAGACAGATTGAGTGGATTTCTAGACCACACGTAAAATCAATGAACATTTTTTCTTCAGGTTTTAGCTTGTAACTGTCTATTTAATTAATCTACATTGTACGCAATTTAACCTGGTGTGCTTGGTTTACTTTTTCGCGTCTTCGGGTGGTTGCATTTTGATCTATCTGAGCCTTTTCAACCGAGCACTTTCTATTGCAAAATATGATCTTTATCTGTCTATTTTACAGAAGTATATCTTGCGTAGATTATTTTAATGCGTTCATTTTATTTTTTCACGTATTTTCAGCCCTGTTTTTATTAATTTTAATTCCTTTTACTTTTGTTTTTTAATCAAAATGTCAACAAAAAATAGAAGCGAATAAATAATCAGTTGGTTTTTATTTGCTCCATTTAAATTTTGTTTAATTTCATTTAATTGTTTAAAACTCATTTTTTATCATTAAAAATATCCAAGGGCTTTGTTGGTATTTTGTTAAATTT